TTTGAGCGCAACCAAGATACACTGTTGCTTGTCCAGTATTATTTTTACGACAATAAAATTTTCTAATCTCCCAATAATAGCGAGATCCAGCTTCAATCGGTAAGAGAAAAAAATAGATTATATTACGAAATTTGTCTTCTTCCGTAGTATTGTGATCGTTATTGAAATTATCAATTAATTCATCTTCAAGTTCAAAGGTTTCTGAGAAATTTACTTCCGTGTTTTCTTCGATGTTCGTAAATATCTAGCAACTATTTCTTCTAATTCGGCCAATTCGTAGATAACCTTGTCTTCATCATTATTGAATTCTTCTTCCAGATCGCTGTTTTCATCAAGAGCATATTCGGGTTGAGTCTCATTGTCTTCATTAGATCTCAAAGGTCTTTTCCCCTTTTTCTTTTCTGAACAACTATTGCATATAGCGAATTCTCCGAGCGTCTTGCGCGTTGTACAACGAGAGTACAGTTTACTTTGGATATTGTCGAAAACACCGGCTGTTTGGTCTGAAGAAGCCATTTTTTGAATAAACCGTGTTTAAGTGCGATTGAAGGATATAAGATTGGATTTCGCTTGTTCGGCTGTTCGATTAATAGTAATCTTTCGATTTTGTTAACAGAACAATTTAAATATCGCAATGATTTAACGTGTTTAGAACTTTGAAAACCCAGATCTTTTATAACAATTTTATTACGCTGCACACAATGACATGTTGATAAAGAACGCAACTACAAAATTAGATTAATTAACTACGATTACGAAGTCACTACAAAGATATTGACTTTTGAAATGTCACAGCGCGTAAACGTTTTTTTATTCAATGCGTATATACGTATTTCCTTTATCTGATGCGTAAGACTTTATTTCGACGACGTGACTACAAAGTAACGTTAGTCTTTTCTTCTTCACAACAACGATAACAGTGAAAGCTTTTGATGTCTTTATAATACCATATTATGGCAGCGTGTGACTACTTTTTTGTTTACTCTGGATATATTTGGGTCGGAATAGATGAGAGATTTCTAGTTAGAGATTTTGGTGCAAATCAGAGGTATATGAACTTGGCAGCAATGCCGCGCGGTATATGGGTTGTATCGAATTCGAAACCGGATGTCAATAGATTAATGCCTATGAAGGACGGAAAACTTAGCTGTGTGGCGCACCGGATAATAGAGCATTTTGATCACGCTAAAAGGGGGCATGGACTTACCAATATTCGGCGACAAAAAATTAATGAATGGGAGGATGTAGCTGAATTGGAAAAAATCCTCAAACGACCAACTAAATTACTCGACATTCTCATGGGACAATTTTTGATAGCGAAAAATATCGATCGCAAAATTACGAAGGACTCGACCAAATAACATCGTTGGCTAGATAGTGCTCATCAGCTATATGACAAAAAAGTAACGAGAGAATTTAATCACATTAGTAGCACAAATCATACAGTCAACCCTCTATTTAAGCACCCTCCATATAAGCACACCATACCTTATTCCCGAGCTTGGGAATTAGTGAATTGATGTACACCTTATCGAGTTGCATATGTATCAGTGAGCACCTTCAATATAAGAATATGGCTAGAAAAAAGTTTACGGTGGACACTGAAGGTTTATTATACTGTAAATCTCTCGATATTATCATATAGGAAATTTTATGAGAAATATGAGTAGAAGATCAAAGTATCAAGGTATTGTACGTAAAGTAAATAATGCAAACTTTGATGTAGATATGTGTAATGATAATAATTCATTTGACAAAAATATTGGTAATCCAGAAAACAATTAATCCAAATCGATCGGTAATGTCGCTAATAGTTAATAATCATTATTAATACCACGTACACTTTGAATTAATAAATGCAACTCGTTTATTTTTTTCATACCTGCATAACTACTACTAGAATATCTCTTCTTCTCAGTCTGTGATAAAGGCTTTATGCCTTTATCAAGCCTTTCTTCCCATATCTTTTTAAGAGACGTATCCTTGTCTATCTCGCTAATAAGTCTCTTGATATTATTAAGAACTTCTGATATAGTTGGACGCTTGTTAGGGTCTTTATCCCAACACTTGCCAGCAAGTTGCTTATAAGGCTCTGGTGTTGAAGCAGGTAGTGTTGGTCGCAATCCTCCATAATAACAATGAATATCTAGCATTGTCTCATCTCTATCTCTGAAAGGTGGCTCACCAGTAGCAATTTGAGCCATAAGAATGCCAAAAGAATAAATATCTGATGCCTGCAAGTATTGCTTATTTTGCCTGATTTCTGGTGCCATGTATTCTTTAATTCCATAAGATTTTGATGTTTGTGAATCCACTGGCCGGGAAACTCCAAGATCACAGATGTATGGATTACTTAATGTAGCACCTTTTTCTCTGTTTAGAATTACATTTTTGGCATGTAAGTCACAATGAATTAATCCTTGCCTATGAATTGTACTCAGATGAGCAGCAATATCATGCAGATACTGTAATTTCCTCAACCATGTCAATTTGTTGATATTTTTTTCCAAGTATGAAAAAAGATTTCCATCATTGGCATATTGCATTACAATCAAATATTCTTTCGTTTTTGGATCTTGTGTATATCCATGTATTCTAAGGGATACACCTCCTAAACCCGTTGAACACTTGACATAATAACTAAGCTATTGAATAAAGAGTCAGTCAGATATATTGTCATTTTAACCAGAGCCTGAATTGAGACTGCCTACCTCTGATACAAATAACTCTACATCTTCATTAAAATTTTTAAACCGTTTTAAAGCAACTTGCTCTTGCTCCCCTGATACATTACGTTTGGCTGCATAGACTATTCCAAAACCACCAGGTTCAAGCTCATTAATATCATAAAAATCACTATATTGTATTTCACCAAATTCTCTTCTATGCAAAAATCCAGCATGTTCTCTTTCAAAGGCTTTCAAAACCGGACGTATATCATAATTAATTACCAAATAATAAGTATCAGTTGATAAATCTCGGGTAAATCCAATAATACGCTGGATTAATTTCTCAGGATAATCTTTGGTTAACTGATTGGCATAAATAATAAAGTTATTAATTTTCAAATATATAATCGCAACACAGACTTATTGGTAGTATAACATTAGTTATATTTACCTTGTAAGAATCAAATGCTTGAGTGTTGTACCCATTGGCTACTTTCTTGAGCATTACCTTTAAAGGCTTGACATCATATGCAGTTCGTTCTAACCAATCTGCTATAAGGCTGCATTTATGACCCAAAGATTGTTTCCGTTGGATGTTTATCAACTGAGAGAACTCTATCCATTCTATATATCTATCAGATATTTTCTTGTTCTTCATAATAAAGGAATCCAGCGATTTGCTCCCTGTAGTCTGATCAGGTCTCTGTTCCCCACACTCTGTACAAAATATCCCAACATGAAAATTTAAATACGTAGTACATGCCAAGCACAATTTATCTCCATATTCTTGTTTAATTAAAGCGTATTTTTTCAATCGTTCGTCATATGTAAATCCGATAGTAATCCAAGTATCAGTGCGAAGTATGTCTGGATGATCATTAGACAACTAATGTACAATTATTATAAGTCAGTAATTAACTTTAGCTGGGGAACAAGCAGTTCATATCTTTAAGATAATCGGACAATGTAGTACCTGATCGTAATATGAATCATCCGTTTTGTCTGATATTGAAATCAATTGAAACAGTTCATCAGATAGGCTTCGAAAGCATGCAGACGAGTTAGCACTAGTCTTAAAGTAATTAAATGGAATCCATTCCAAGTAGGCTTCATTTGCTGAGCTAGTCTGTAATTGTGATTTCTTAATAAAATCGTCAAGTTTCTTATTATTGCTAGTCCATCCCTTGGACAATTCCTTATAGCCACAGATGCACCACACGGGACTACATCTGAGCACTCCACATACAGAACAGAATCCGCATATAGAATAATAATATTGAAACTGTCTGCTGGTCACTAGATAGTAATTGTCATTATTTTTGGTGAACCCTGCTATTAGCTTATTGCGTTTTTCAAGCCATATCGAAAATCGTCTGAACAAATTAATATTGGATGGATTTATGTATTTATGCGTAGGAAGTGAGTATATCGTTGTAATCTTATGGATAAACTCTGGTGAGCATACATCAATAGGCCCAAGTGATAAAATCATCACTGTCTCGGCTTGTCTCGAAGCATGAAAGATGTGGGAATTGTGGAGTGGTCTGATATCAGTAAACTGTGAATAAGGGATCCACTCGAGATATTCTGATACGGGATCTTCATTAGTGAGAGACCGCGCCATCTTAGGAAGATGTTCAGAAGAGACTGGAGACCCACTAGACTCTCCGTGTGCAAGGGGAAGATTAAGGCCGTCGGCAGGGCGGTGATGGTAGTATCAATATTTTTTGTGGTTACTGCGGATATGAAGCACAATGCCAAATCCAGTTAGCGCGTGATAAACATTTGTATAACGATAGCAATAAATTGATTCGAAACTCAGCCTTGCTCTTTCTTATTCTACCAACAAAGAAGCCTTTGTATGAATAACGTTATTAGTAACGTATCTTGGCAGATGATATCGAATTGAAATAATCACATTAATTCACGGAGTCCACCAAAAAATGAGACCCAATGGTTGAAAATTGAAACTAGCAAGTTTGTGGCTAATAGAGCGCTACTGAACGCGCGCTTCTACATCCTTTTGTAAAAAGCGCCATTTTCTTTTAAATTCGACACATTCGATCATCAAACTGTTCAGAAACAAATACGAAAACAAGATATTCTTTGGACTCGATTAACGATTTACTTTCACATATTGACTGTATTCAGTAGAAATGATGACTAGTGTCTGGATGGCTTTACGGTAACAAAAATTTTAATTTACTGTGTTCTCTGCTATTGACTTATTTCTACAGGAAAGGCTCATTGACAGTAATCTATCAACGACTTGCTATTATTAATCAATATTAATATACTCAATTTCTTACTATAATATAATTATAAGATCCTTTACGCTTTATCTATAGCAACCTCCTCCTTCTCCTTCACTTCATGCTCAGTCTTGGTAGTCTGTTCAGTTTTCGTCGTCGTCCTCTTTCCAGTGACATCACCCCACATTCCCTTGATTACAGAGCCAATACTATCCCTGCTTTCGATTATAGGATATATAGCCACAGCACATGTACTGCATATCGCCCATATTATACTAATAGACACCCAGAATGCAAAGAACGGCTTAGAGAACACATATCCCTTGCCATACATTGGTAGTGGCCAGAGAATAATAAGAATAACCGTAAGCGCCACCGATGACCAAGCAGCAAACTTGGACGCTTTCTTCAGACGAACTGGGTCGCGCTCGATTGGGTCTTCATAGACCGCATTACCGTCAATTTCATCGTCGGTAAGAATTTCCAGTTTGCTTTTTGTAATTTCAAAATCGAAATTATCTGGTGCAAGAATAGACCAGATAAGTGTTATTATTCCTGATGAACCAAGAGAAACCCTATAGACAAAAGAGTATAAAAAGAATTGGCATGAAAAATGATTAAAAATGATTAAAAATGGAATATTAATTACATAAAATAGCAGTACTTTGCCATAATTATTACTTACAGATTCCCGGCCAACATAGGATAATTTTCACCAGTAGACTTAATTGTGATTTCATCAAACAATTTAACGGCTGTAACTAACCAGGCAACAACACCGAATATTAAACCGAAAACACTGGCAGCAATTGCAGCACCAACAGGCTGTTTCTTCCATGTCAACGTGAATGCAATTGGTACCACAGCCGGGGATGTAATGATACCCATGAGCAGGTACAAGTATCCCAAGTCCACCCCAATATACTTTAGGACAACTGCAAGGACACCCATAAATATACCAAAAGTGGCTACGGAGATGTGGGAGAAGTAGATTACTTGTTTGCCATTAGCCTGGAAGCAATAACAAAACGTTGGAATTTAGTATGATTTGGCTATATAAATAAAAGTTTAAATAACGCGAGCGTAATCAAACATATTTTTTACTTACGCCTGGGTGGATGTATGTTCGGTAGATGTCATAAGTAAAGATAGAAGATACAGCAATGAGCTCAGCCGATGAAGCCGACCTGAATAAACGCAAGTCAAATCAGTCAGTCAACTAATATAATTTGCTGAAATAGAACATAACGAATACTCACTGCTGAACAATTGTTAATAACGACGATAATACTTACGTTACAGCCATAAACACTAACACGAGCACAGCAAATGCACCAGCTTTTCCTAGCAGAGCAGTGGCAGCATTAGGAACGACCAATCCTGCAGAGACATCTCCTGCACTCATTCTGTTGGGATAAGTAGGCCAACTAGGAGTACCCTCCAAGGCAACTCCAGACAAACCCATTGTTGTAGCCAGAGTGAATGGGATAGCAAACCAAGCAAGCCCACCAATAAGGTAAGCTTTAACTGTCGACGATGGTCTTGCGGCAATAGCTCTCTGCCAGTACGCATTGTCTACAAACACGGTACCGAAATTACCAACAATATTAATAATACCGAATATCAGTCCTTGTAAACTTCGCATCGTGACGTACGATCCGTCTTTGTTATCTGGGACGGGATGCTTGTCGGCAGCCGCCACCAATAGATCGTACATTTTGCCAGGTGATCCAATCGTAGGACTGGAGGCATAAACGGTGAAAACGAAGGACAAGATGATGATAAAGATGACGGTCGTGTGGACGTAGTCAGTGAGAAAGGTAGCCTTGAGCCCACCGAATAAAGTGTAAATCATGACACCGAAGGGAAGAAGGAAAGATGCTGCAATGACATGCACTCCGGTAAGTGATTCCACTACTGCCGAGCCACCAAGAAGCAACATTGCAGTTACGACAACTGGGAAAGGATGAAAAGAGATCATATGAAGATTAGGTATTGGGAATAAACATCAGATGAAAGGTTGGCAATGCATTGGATCATAAACGTTGCTATCATCGAACAAATACGCATCTATATGTATTTCTTAAGATATTGGGTATACATTGTATGCATTAATTTCCACACGAAATGAGATACTTACTGTTAGTAGCCAGACCGAAAAATAAGAATACCAAATGTGCGACTTTGCCATATCGTACGTTAATGATTTCGAGGAAAGTATGTGCGTTGGGTGCTTTGCGCTTGAGTTCGATGGCTAAGATGGCGAATAACAAAACCTATGATTATAATCACGTGATTAGAACGTTACATAAACATTTTTTATGCTGAAAATTTCTCCATTTATCAAAGATTTACCTGGATTGTTGCTCCAGATGCATACCAGAATGGTCTATCAAATATGAAAATTGTCAGTGATGTACTATTGGGATCGACCTAATGCATTGAAAATCGGCAGAGCGCACGCGGATAGCACCTGGTACCCCGATACTCACCCAGATACACCATACTTATAGGCCACAGTAGAACTCTGAAGTAGAGTAGCCGCCCATGTCCATGACGATACGACTGCAGATGCGACCAAACCAGTATGTACACTTCTGTGAGCAGTCATAAACATTTCACTAGTTTGATATTCTCGGAGATATCGTTTCTGAGCCAGCGTTAAAAGAGTCATGACGATGGCAAAGAAGGCACCAAAGCCAACGACTATAAGGTAATAACGATGCAGAAAGAGCGGATAAGTAAAAGAACATTTTCCCCAAAAATTAGGCTTTCCAATGTGTTGTCTCGTTTATTCCTACTTCTTACCAATGCCGTATCCGACACCCTGACTGAGAACAGTCATTTTTTCTCAAGTATTTTTTTTGTATTAAGTATTATTAGATGTGTATGTATAGTATATTAGATATTGTAGTAATTAAACGTTATCGTAAAAGTAATTATCAGTCTAGGGTGCAGCGACTGACAAGGAGGAAAAGTTCTGCCTCGAGATCATGAGGGATTTTATAGATGAGAAGGAGCTATCAAAAATGACCGACCACAAATTTAGAAATCAACCAGAATGACCGTTGAATAGAACGTGAAGTTACACATTAAGAAGCACGATAGTTACTTATGTTACTCGACTCGACGCACTTGATAAGATTGGCGTCACGCGGCTGTACTCAGTGAGTACATATTATTTTATCAGGTATAAGCGGAGAAAATTAGTCTCTTATCTCGATGTACAGCAGATGCAGACCACATTGGTGGCGTTTTTTTCGTTATCATAATATTTAGTGTTGGTGTTTGCATTTAATGCTTGTGTTTGTGCTTGTGTTTTGCATTCAATGTTTGTGCTTGTGATAGGTTTACCTCATTGCCCCTTCCCTTTGTATAAGCACAAGCTTGTTATCTGCTCGCTTCTCTGTTTAGCATATTCCGGTCATGCTAATATTTACTGGAATTGAAATTCGTAATATTACAAAATCATATGGGAATCCTGGTCGATTAAAACATGTGACCTATCCAATAATCGCATTCTTATTATTATCAGAAGAATGATATTTATTCACCTTATCCGTGAAGATCTGCAATGACATTTCTCCGAATAAAAAAAATTGTGTGTTATCAACAGGTCACTTGTTATACTTGTTATAGATCATGCAATGCAGATGTAGCATTTGTACGACTCTTTACTGTATGCAGAAATTTGTTACACAAAGATAAGCGTACTATTGTTAAAACCTGCTAAATGCCTATTCAATTATTTATTCTGTTGATACTGTTTGTTCTCTTTGCTTTCACAGTTATACAAAAATAAGCTCGTCCTCAACAACGAACCGACAACAAAGCAAGAACAGCAACCACACCGCAAGTCAACAACCGTATTGAACGATGCAGCGTGTATTCAATTCTAATTACAATTCTTTGTTCTAAATCTTTATCAAAGCTGGCTGTACAACTCAACTGGTTATTGATAAACAAGAAAAGATAAGGCATTTCATGTGAAGCATTGAATACCGACAATGTCAATAAGCTTATACACTGCATTGAATTAATTTTGTCTATCCTATTATACAACATCGCACAGAACCAGTAATTATCGCGCTTTCATCTCATCAGAAGCGTTATACAGATTGGGGTTAGCGTATCGCATTCTTTATGAGCCCACTATCAAAAATTTTGCGTGGGAACATTATCAAGCCAACGTTGAACAAGCGCATGTCTATTGAATTTTTACTAGTTAACATAAATAATCAATTATCACTATTGCTAACAAAGCTATCACAAACTTCAAAACGTTACATCAAAGACAGCCACTAAGCGATGCCATAACGACTGCGCTTTACTCCTGTAATAAATAAATGAGTGGTCGTAGTAACACTTAGATAAACTACATTTTTCTTTTTACAATTTGTTCTACAACAATGGGACTAGAAATAGTATTAAATACGTAAAGTTTGGCCAGCGTTCTTCTATATAACATTTCACAACATTTTAATTGGAGAAAACTATTCGAACGTTAACCATTTGCTCTAATTGCAAGCTATTTTGATGAAATGCGCGATAATCAACAACGATGTATTAATATTGTGAGTCAAATAAAGATAAGGCCCTTTATTATGGTTATTTGCATACGCGTTAACCGTATTAATCTAAAGAAAAGTCTTAAAATTTGTTATTTGCATTAATGTTATTAGATTATCGGAGTTTAGGCAATCTCCGTAGCAGAAATTAACTTGGCAGAGCAGATAAGACAATTTTCAAGGAAGTCAGTTATAGAGAAGTTAATGCTACAGTTAATATTGTAAACAATAATTATCAAGGTTCAGGCAATCTCCGTGTCTTTACTACAGCTAGAATCAGATAAGACCGTTTCAAGGGTGAGAAGCCAGTGCTACAGTTAATATAGTAAACAATGATTTTATTAAAGTTCAGGCAATCTCCGTTTCTTTACTATTAACTTGGCAGATAAGACAGCTGTCAAGAAAGAGTGGATTATAGTGAATTCAGTGCTACATTTGATATAGTAAACAGTAAAATAATTATGCAAAATCAAATTGCTCGTACAATTTTATTTCTAATCTAAAAACTAGGCATTTTTAAACAAATAATCCGGTTATTTATTAAGAACAAAGCGTGTTTTTTTTTACCTAAAGATTAATTGATGTTGTGCCAAATGATCTCACGTCAAACCATAAATCCGATTGCAATTGATAACTTTCCAAAAGAGGAAGCGGCTGCGAATAACTGTTTTCTAATTGTAAGGCTTTTATCCTAACCGATATAACAATGAGTTGGTCATCCACAATCTTAATCTTACCAAACATTTGCGATACACATGTTGATTAATTCAATTCAAAAACGCTTCGGTTTACTACAAAATTTAATCACAAATGTCTTTTTTTTTTTGTATTATATCTCTAATATACGCTGTTAATCAATTAAATGCAAGCATTGCATAACCAATACGCTGCACATGATATTACATACGACTGTTGAGAGAATTATAACTGCCGCATCATAATTGACTTTAATTAGCTCGCTTGGACAACGAATAGTATTCAATGCTTTCTGTAAACTGCAACACGCGTAGTCTAAAATATATCTTTTTTATGACGGAAGTTTATGCAATCAATAGTTAAGGATTACCTGAAGCGTTATCAGCTGCTTTGTACAGCTATTGGGAGATGCACGATCGTAGTGGCCCCAGTAACTGAGCAACTGATTATCAATCTGAGATCAGATTGACTATCAATATTAAAAAAACCATTTGATTGTTTCAAGAATGAACAATCTCATTTCAATTCAAAAAGAGCATTGTTATATTATCTTACATATAATTAACTTTGATAAATTGTTTAGTATGCACTACATTGTATTTTATAACACATCAATAGCTCTTATTCCATTGGTGCATCTTGACAGCACTTGTACAACAAGCAGACGGCATACTTCTTCAATAAGGCATATCACACTCGCAGACAAAAGACAGCATAGCATGCTTTTGGCATGAAGGTTTTCAATGTTGCATTATCGAGATAATCAATCGATGCCGCCACTAAGTAGTGTTACTGTACACAAACTTTCCCAACAAAAATATCCGAAAATCGCTTAGAGCTTGTTCTGAACTTAGGTTCTTATATCCTCAGTACAGTATTAATTAATAACACTAATCGTAATATCAATCAGATATAACTACCAATAAAACTATTACAAACATTCGTAATCATTTGAGCATGTCTTTTCTACCAATGCTGCTGTCAGCCTTATGATAGAAAGGTTACCGTGTGACAGAATCAGTGATAAGCTCTCATGTGCCAAAAATACCGGTAATTAGAGTAGTTGATAAGAGCACAAAAAGATATTCTGGAATTCAATTTTTGTTTGTGTAAGCTCATTGTGATTATTGAATGTGCGCCTGACTCACAATTAATACCCACGCCATAATTTATTGTATATGCCTTTTCAAACATATTGGTTCTTTCGTATTACTCTAAAAAAATTTTTATATTTATGTTACACATATGATTTCATACATATTGATACATATGTATAACATAAATACTGCACACTTCATCTGATTTCATTTCTACGATAGCAGTAAATCAGCTGATTTTGATTTCACAATTTTATTGGCAAGTGAGTTACAATATGGTGAAACATTATAAATTTGGTTAGCACAATTAGCACAATATGGCAAGTAAGTTATATCAATTCTATATTCAATCTCAATTTAATTCATTTCAATTGGATTAATTTCAATTGAGGTTGTTTATATACGTTCCTAAAACATGCCAAGACAATTAGCGACGGTCACTACATTCCGCAGCATGTTACTCTGTAGTACATACGATTACCAAAGTCAGTAAGTTAGCATGTGGCCATTTACTTTTAGCGCCGTTTTCCAATTATTAAAACCCTTGGCTTTAACAAGGGTTTTTTGCTCATTATGTGGGTGCCCACATCGTCCAGCCAAGGGCGTGCGTTGTCAGTGAATCAATACCGTTCGTCCCGCGTCTAAGAAATCCGAAATTCTACGCAGACATTGCTCAAAGTCGTCAACAGAAAACGAAACGTATAATAACAAAACCGTTCAAAACTGAAAATTGAAAATTGGAATTACGGAAATTGCGATAATCCAGCGCTAAAGTCGGGGATATAGGAAAATTTACGCCGCTTAAGGACAATTCTTTTAATGTAATAATCACAACTAGCATACGGTTACAGATGGCAGAACATTGCTCATTTGATTGGCAACACTCCAAGTTACACGTATGCTAAAATCACTAACCTTACCCATACAAGTGAAACCTTACATATCGAAAGATCAATTTCACCCGCCAAAACTAATCAAAGCACCAAGGAAACTCAAAATACTCTTTCCTTATCACTATTTTTCAATACAAACATTTTTCAAAAAAGCTTCCCGAAAATGCCAAGAATATGGTCGTTAAAAATGGCCTCACAAAATCGAACAAAGAATTTCATACGTTTGTGCGATTTCAATTCGTAACGACAGCGATATCACAATAACTGGTCCTTGGAAAAACAAACAACCGCAAATCGGACATTGAACAGAAAATTGCGCAGATACAAGATTGCTAACTATTTCAGGATGCAACGCGTAACTTTGTTATAACACAATTACTATTACTGACAAATGCTCATATCGAAGCTAGAAAAATCCAACGCTAATCCGTACACTTGCATGTGTATTACCAAAGACGGACGAAAATTAGCCTCTCAATTAATAAACTTAACCTGCATTATGACAAATGTAATGGTTGCGCGAAGAAAATAATGGCTGCTGTGTCATGTGATCTAAGAACATATGGTTCGCAATATACATCATTGTGAAAATATGTTTTGAGTTACTAAGTACGTTAGTGATTATTCTTCTAAACATTAGTCGATCAGATGTATTATACGACTCTTCTTATGACAGCGGTACATACAATGTTCATGGGAAATAAGCGGTTCCGGAGATTCGGCAGATTCCAAGTCTAATGACAGAAGTCCGAGCATAGTCTTAGTTTAAACCCCACAGTTAAAGAAGACTTACGTCTATTGAAAATAGAGAAAATATATTTTGATAATAAGAGTAAACAAACTTGTGACCGATAGCCTTTAGACGAGATTTATGTGCGATTTGGGGGATTTATATATGTACATAAATGCGGTTTTGAGGACATCGGATTTACACACTAACATTGATGCATACTAATACGGGAAAGAAGATAGTAATGTTGTTGTGGCAGGTTACTCGGTCTAGGCAACTCTCCTAGGAGTGATCAAACTGCGAATAAGAAGTTAAGCAAGACCAGGAAGAATAATTCGCAGTAACTTAGCACAACACACGAGTGATAGCTTTTATACCATACACAATAGGAACTTATAAACTAAGATTGATGGTCAAATTATCACAAACTTAAAAGTTATAGCAATAAACAACAGATATGCTCTAAAATTGCTAAAGGCTGGCCGATGGGAACACACGAATAAAAATTGTTAAAGACATTGACATCGACATTGGTTTTAATAATATATGGTCGCTTGCTCAGTAAGTTTATTGCCAATTACGTAATTAAACACTCAAAGACAAATATCTGGTCTTTGCTTGTAATAATAAAATATTTAGATGCATCAAAGTCTATATAATATCTACTAATAACCATTAATTATTATCGAGCAATTTGCTAAAGTAACAATACAAACAGACAACAATCTATTAAATTAATCCGCGTTGTTAGTCAGAGTCGTGTACAGGATTAAAACTAAAAGAAATAATCATAGAAGTATCTCCTTCAGCCACATGTCTAATACAAGTCACTATCTTCTTGTTTGAAGGAACAACCAATTTAAAGTCGCTTCTAAGGGAGTCACTTTCGTTTTTCCCAAACTGTTTAAAAGTTTAATTTAAAAGGAGAAATTTAGTATAATTGTAAAATTCCTTGTTATAAAAGCAAATGTAGTTAATTCTATTTATTAGTTACCTTCGGATTAATTGACTTAACGCTTACACCGTCTTCGCATGTAAGTTTGGTTGTAAATTTACCTAGAGAAAATGTTTCTATAAGCATACGATATTCTAATACGAGAGACATATATGTTATGCAAACATCTTAACATACCATAATTTTTATATCCGGTGGAATACAACGAACTTTTTACAAGGTAGTTATTAGGCGCGCCATCGACTGTTGAAACAGAGACTGGTAAAGGCAGAATTTCGTTGGCAGGTACATAGTCCACTATCTTTGCCCGCGGTTGTTTGCCCCGTAGTTTGCCCCGTGGTTTGCCCCGTGATTTGCGTGTTTCAAAGGTTAGCGAAGTAGTAGGCAGATCCTCGTGAGTTGGGTTGGCAGTAGTATAAACAACAGCCAGGAGAAGAAGAGAAAGTATAGTAATGTGTGCAAATTTCATTTTTACT